TTGCCACTTTCACTGTTTCCATACAGTACATTCATCTGAACTTACACTGGATAATAATGAAGTTTAATTTAAAAGAATTTTGTATATCAATTTGCATGAAATATTGACAGATAATTATAAGATCCTACTGCCATGAAAAGACCTGAGGTGTTCAGAGCCAAGACAAAAAAGAGGTCTGTTTTCCTGTTTCAGTTTTGATTCGTAGTTTTTCTAGCTCATTTTCTTGGTTTGACTTAGCATGTGATTCTTCTTCCTTTGCAGATTGATATGAAGGTATTTAAAATGAAGTTGCCAGAAAACAATTTGACATTATTAGGGAAAAAAAGAATTGTGTTGTAGCTAAAGAAATGCCATGGGAAAGGATAAAAATGAATTATGGAATGACAGACCTCTTAAACATAAAAAGACCTGCTCCGCCATGTCACAGTATTTCTTTTTTCCTATGTGCTGTTGCCTGGAGCATTCTGGTCTCCGGAAGTATGCAAGGGATACTCTGATTCTTCCCAGCTAAACAGAAGTGTAAAAGCATATTCATTTGTTTTTCTTTAGAGCAAATTCACTTCTAGAATACAGTTTTCTTTCTTGTATTTGGAATTTTGTCTGTGGAAAAGCCTTTGCAACTGTGCTCTAGTTCTCTTAGTTATATCAATTTTTTATAATTCTTGATCACCAAGCTGTCAAAAGCCCATTGAATGTTGCTTTTGTCCTGTTGATTTCAAACAAGTAAAACTGCAGTCAGTGCAAAAGGTAAGTTGAGATTGTTCTTGTGCAGCGTTAGCCTGTCTTTTCCAGTAGCTAGACAAAAGCAGTAGATACTCTGTGGGAATAGTTGAATACCTGATGAGTGTGTTTATCCAGTGAAGTCTGTCAGAATGACCTCATGTGGGAGGTTGCCCCATGTGTTGATTGGATATGGGGTGTTTTCTGCTGTTTCACTTGCCTACTACAGTAGGGTGATCTTTTAGGAGCACTGCTTGTATTCTCTGCTGTAAGAAGTCAGTCTTTGTACTCTTCCTTCTGTTATACAAGGTAGTTCATAGGTTGGGGAAGCAAAGTGCAAAAACAGCTGCACAGTCAAAGGCAGATGGTGATTTACTGAATTGTATGTATCTTAGAAATTCTTCAGGACCCTTATTTCTATCCAGTCACGGCTCCTGAGTAATACTCCTGGATTTTTTCTCTTCTTTATAAACATGTGAAATGAGCAGATACAAGAGTAAAAGTTCAGTTTGTTTAGAGGAAAAGATAAGAGCATACCAAGTGTGGTACCCAAGAAAAATGCTTTGAAACATAAGAGGACTTTTTCCACTGAGGCATAACTTACCTAAATAATGCTTCACTATTGCCGCAGTAGATGATTTTCTAGACTATTCAGGTGAGTTTGTTGCTTAATGATTGATGTGGTATATTTGCCTTTTGATTGATTTAAAGTCTTAAGTGGGTTAGTTGTGGGAATAAGTAATTAGTGTGCAAGTGTGATTCAGGATAATCCGTCTGATTATCCTGCAAAGTAAGTAGTTTATTTGAGTTTAAAATTTCATCTCAGCAATATGGAACAAACATTTCAAATATCTAGTTGCACTTTTGCACCTTCATGTCTTCATTCATCCTCCAAATTGCAGGAGAACATCCCATTCCAAATAGGACCCAAAGATCTTTGATTTCACTTCACAAATACATGTATGCTTACCATTTTCCACAGAGTGTATAACGTAAATAAGTAGTAACCCTTTGTAGATTGAGCATTCAAAAATTAGATGCCTTAATGAGCTGGATCTGCACTTTGAGATTGTGAGAGCATGTATTTATGAATTTTTAACTCTGTTAGAGCCAGTAACATCTTTCAGATAGGTAGAATTTCTAAGGGTGTTCTTCAAATACAGACTTTGTCTTTATTAATGTTAAACAAATAGTAATGAACTGGAAGGAAGACTTGATGGAGCTGCTTACTCAAATTCTATGAAGACCTGGGGAGTTGGAAGGAGGCAAACAAAATAACTGATGCTTTCCATGGTAATGTGGATACATACCTTTTTAAAGATTCAACTAAATCATCTCTGCCAGCAACAGTTTGTTCCTGTAACTAATAATATATCTGAAGAGCAAGTGTTTTTCTTTTTGAATAGTGAAAATTGAGTCTAGTGTCTGGTAAGTTCAAAATACATGAAAGAGGGAAGTCCTCAGTTAAGAGATTTCTTAATTTCATTATCCCTTCCCTCATGTCTGCTGATAACAAACTAGACTGAGATGGTTTATTCACTGGGTTATGTCTCTGAGAAGATTTGTATATAAAGTTCTGAATCTGAAATTCAGATTTTGTTTTTCTTTGGAGAAAACAGAAGAATGATTATGAATCTGTAATCTAAGGCAAACTTTGACGTCTATTCCAAGTGCCAGTACTGTAGAATGAATCTCTATAGGGGAGTTATATTAAGAAATAAACAGGTACACTATAGATTTGAGATTAAATTACCAGTTAAACACTGTTTTAAATACAAACTAGTTCTCCAATTTTTCTTTTTTTTTTTTTTTTTTTGTTTGCTGGGTTGTTTGGAATTAATGACATCTGAGGCAAAAATCCAATATATGAAAATAAGAGGTTTCTGTATTTTCTTTCACTTTTGTCTCAGTTTTTGTTACCATTTTTCATTCTCTTCAATTCACATTCAGTTTCTTTTCCATGTTTTTAAAGACCACTGTTAGTACATAATTTTGTATATTGAGTTCTACTCTTGCTGCTATTGAGTATGAGGTACAATAAGGATAAATTATTTTCTTTCTTGATAAAGTGAAATTTTTAGTGTGGGTCAAAAAATACCCTTCATGCCTCCCTATGTTATTTACTAAATGTTTTCTCGTTATAGTTCCTTGTTTCCAATATTTGCTACACAAATTAGCTGGATTGCATTATGTTTCTCATATTCTGAACCGGTTGCAGGGTTTGTTCTTGTTTGGATGTATTTTCTGCTATGTAGTGTGGTATGGTGGTGGTCGTTTGTTTGTTTGTTTGTTTGTTTTTGTTTGTATTGTAAGAAATGTTACCATATTTGTAACAGTGTGTGGGTAGAAGTAGTGGTCAGAGGGATAAATTATATTTACTGAACGTGGCAAAACAATTTATAAGAAAGGTTTTGAGATGGTGGTAGGAGAAGAAGTAGAATAATAAATATATTTGCAAGGGAGGTGGGAATGTGATTTGTAGAAAAACTGAAGAAGTCTACAGAAGAGAGGCAGACATTCAGAGTAATTTGGAAAAAGTTACAACGGTGTCAAAAAGTAAAAAAAAATATGAAACAAGCAAGGAGGGAAAAACACAATCCTTACAAAGAAATAGTGATGTATATTTTTAGTGACTAGGACATTTACTGAATGCATAGATTAATTTCACTGCACATCTTCAAATATATTTGTCACATTACTTACTGGCACACTAGCTCACCAGTGGTTTAATAATAATTCAGAAAAATTATTTCTGCCAATCTTTAGTCTTATCAGATATGTGAAATTAATGTTCTTTATTTGATTTGACTCCAATAATACTGAAAAAGGTAGTTTATCGGCTATTAGGCTAGCTGTCAAATGTTATAACATAGCGCAGCAGAAAAGACAGAGATTTACTTTGTGTTCAGTAACTGTTCAGAGCAGGGAGAAGAGCATGCAATGGTACTCGAACTGCTGCTCAGACTTTCAGCATTGCCCCATCCTTCTGTGATTATTGCTTTGTGAACACTTTCCTTGTGCAGCATGGGTGCTCTGGATTCCAACACACTGACACGGTTCAACATGCGGAGCAAACCCTTCTTACTGCTGCACAGCTTGGTGTGCAGGGCTGCTACCTATAATACCTGTGCTCCTTATGAGCGAGTTACTTTGAGTTCAGTGGTGACATAGTTATGGTTTTGCCCTAACTGTTACATGTAGGTTTAAAATCAATGATTGTTGATTATGACTTAAAATGTATTGCTTTCCATGTTTTTTCTCAGCATATTTTCATTCTTCTTCTTGCCTGACATACATGTGAACCAGATTTAACCATTTGGAGGTTGAAAACCCTTATATATGCTAGCAGCAGTATTGTAGAATAATCTAAAGGAATATTGTCGTCTTGATAATTTTTTATGTTTCTGAAGACATTTAATTTAGCTTGTATATTAAAGGCAGAGCAATTGCATTTTTGTCCTGAGATAAAAGTTTTGTCTGTTTCTTACTACTGTTACAGTGTTACTGCTAGGAAAATGTTTTAGATGAGTGGCATTTTGATTAAAGAAGGGAAGGGACAAAACAGTATGTGGAATTAAAACAGACTCCTGAAGAAAAATGCAGAGTTCTAACGTATTTGAGAGTGAGGGTGTTTTAAACATGAATGTCCTAAGAACAGAATGCAGGTACCTAACACAGAAAGTTTAAGTTGATTTTTTGATGGCAGTGAGGTTTTATTATGTGTGGGTACACTAAACCATTGATCATGTTGAATAGAGTTGTATTACTTCCCTTGAGCTGCAAATTCAGTTAGACTTAACTCCTTTTTACAACTATTTTGTGTCATAATCTTTTTGGTTGCCTCAATAACTGTTTCTAATTATCTTCACAAATTCTGGAGAATTTTGAACTGTACTTTTTGGCTTGATTTTTGATATGCTAAAAGTGCAACTGAAACAGTATTCTAATGTATTCTTAATCCATAAACACAAATACAACTTCTGAAAATTACTGTCTTTGTCAAAGCTTGACTGAATAATTTCTCTCCGCTTTTGCAATTATGGGCTCTTTTGTTTAGTAGCAGGAAAATATGCAGTTCCTCCTTTACGTTACTGTGCTGTGTATAGTCATGCAGTTTTGAGTACGATTAAAGTACTAAAGAAATTAAAATAACTCTATAAAAATATATATATTAGATTGTTACATTTTGTAGGTCTAAAATACAAAGGTTTAAAATCTAGTACATGCATGTTCTTTTGCTTTTTGTCTATTAACAGATTTTTTTTTTTTTTTTTTAATAGAGATTCACAGAACGGCAGCAGGAGATAAACAACTTAATACAGAGAAAAATTGCTGTAGAACAGGAAAATGCCCATTTGAAGAATGAATTCGGTAACTTGAACCAGAAATTTAAAGATAAAAGCCAAGAACTTAAGGTATATTGACTTGTACATAGTTTCATAAGACTGTAGCTTTGAAGTAGTTCTTTAAGCAATGTCAGCCTTTGTGGCACAGAAAGTGACAAGCTTGGAGGAAAAAATTGCCTTAGGCCTTGATACACCTTACCGTTTTCTCACATACCAACTCTGAGGAAGATGCTTTAAAGCCAGGAATCCAAGCTTTATAACTTTCAGATAAATAGTTAATGATAGAAATGGAGCAAAGAAAGTAAGAGTGTGAAGATGTGGCTTCTTGTAATTAGATTCTGATGGGACTGGCATTATTAATTGATAAAGCCGAGGTCTGGGAGGATATGTCTGTGTGGGTCTCAAAAATAGCTGGGGACAGCATCAAAGGCAGCTTGATCAATTAATGGGCTCTTTGCAAATGTATACTCATCAAAGCTGTCATCCAGCTAAAAAATATGACCCTTCCACCTGCATGAAAGAGGCCAATAAAAGTACACAGGTGACCTTGGCCATCAAATATAGAGGAAGCTGCTGTGAGGGTAAAACTGCACAGTTTATATTTGCTGATTAGTTCTCACTTTTTTGTTTATCGGCCCTTGTGGTACTGTTCTACAGGACACTGAGGAGCGTGCACAGAAGAAGGAAGAGCAAAACAGACTGGTTATAAAAAACCTGGAGGAGGAAAATAAGGGATTAAATACATGCTGTGCTGACCTGCTAAATGACCTGGAGAAACTGAAGAAGCAGGAGGCGCAATGGAAAACAGAAAAATCTGGCTATGATGCCAGAATAAAGGTATGAAGTGGAATGGACTCCTGGATTTTATTTCAGAATTAACTTCTCCAAGTTAAGTTACTTTCTTTAAATAACAAGTTATATATTCAAATCTACCAGTGGGGACTTGCATTCATTTACATTCCTTCACTTAAGACCCACAGCTTTTTAAAAATTGATGTTGCAAAGCAGGAATCTGACTTCAAATAGTCATCTTAAAATGTAATAATTAAAAAATAAAAGATGCTGTATTTTAAGATAAAATATGTATGTGTGTGAAATTATAAAAGCTTAAAGGTGTTATCATTCACATTTTTTTTTCCTCAATGTGTAATTTACTTACATATAATTTGGTTTCAGTAGACTTGATATATGTTGTTTCGGAAGAACACTTTAAAACTTAACTGCAGTTTTAAAATCGTCCTAGCCTCCTGAGGGCTCTACCCTGTGAGAGGCCTTATTATTGCATACAATATATTGAAACGTTACTTTCACTATTTATGATAAAACAAAAAAGGGAAGTAATCAAATACATGGTACAGCATGTTGTGTATTTTATTTAAATGATACTTTGTCTTTTTTGCTGATGAAAATGGGCAAGTTATTTCTAAATTCCTGTAAGAAATGTCACAAATGTGGTATCAAATGGTTTGATGTCTGCTTGTATATGTGTGTAGTGGATTCTTTTTGTTTACATGGCTAATGCACACTTACAATGCTGTGTTCCTTTACACTATCAAAGTACATGACCTTCTGGTATATTCAGTGTATTAACTATCTAATCAACATCTTGCTCAGAAACATCTTTTACTCCACTAGCAATTCAGTGGTTTTGGTGACGCTTCTGATTGTTGTGCTGATGGAAACCCTTTGTAAAGAGCTTCATTCAGATCTGTTAACATGGGAAGTAACATTCTTGCAAACTGATATTGGAGTGATTATGATGAAAGGATTATAGGAATTCCTGGACAATTAATGGTTTGCTGACACTTGAGGGAGAAAATCTGTGTCTACTAAACTGATTTAATAATTTTCAAATTGTCAAATGTAGTGCTTGTAATATTGGATAAATTAATGAAAATCATTGTTACCCACACCTTTCAATGAAAACAGAATAATTTTTAGTGTATCTGTCTTCCTGGCTGATAAAGCATGCTGAAGAGAGAAAGGTGTGTCACAACCATGTGATTCCAGGAATGGGAATTAGTAGTGTCAGTTTCACAGTGGGGTCACAAGCAGGTCAGGGTGGTGTCTAAAGTGTGACAGAGGTGGCAGCCTTGCCTGTAGTGACCGTGGAATTGTGAAGACTAAGATCCTGAGAAGGTGAATGAAGGAGAGTAGCACAATACAGACCTGGAATTAAGGAGGAGAGTCTTCAGCTTGTAGAGGACAAAGTATCAGCAGATGAGCTTGGATAAACAGGCTTAATCACCAAACTCCAGTGTAGGGTGGGGATGGAAAGCAGTATTCAGGAAGTGGACACAGTGAAAGCTACAAAGCAGAAACATCGTCAGGGCGTTCCAGGATGGTGGTAATCTTCCTGACTTGCAAGTGATGACAGCTATTAGAAGAGTTTCTTGCACTTCTTTAGTAGTAAAAGGCTGAACAAGAAAAACAGGAGCCTGTTGCTGGAAGGAAAGGTAACAGTAGTAATAAGTGGTGTACTGCAGGATCTATCCTGGGCTGGTATTATTTAAGATCTTTATCAGTGACCTGTAAGAGGGGACAGCAGGCATGCTCTTTAAGTTTGCAGATGACACAAAACTGGAGGGAAGTGGATATGCTTGAAGGCTTAAAGGGTCAGCAGGAGCCTGAACCGGGAGAAACGATGAGTCTTGCCCTGAGAAAAGAAAGCCCTGCAGCCATACAGGGAACAGATCTGGGGGACAGCCCTGGGCACTGTCAGGCAGCAAGCTGCATCGGAGGCACCTCTGTGTACCAAGGCAGCAATGAGAGCCAGCAGCGTCTAGAGAGGCATGAGCAGGTTAGGGCAGGGGAGGAATTTACCCCTTCTGCTCAATACTCTAGATAATGACATTTTTGGGTGCTGTACAAGAAAGACATCAGTAAACCAGCTGAAAGTGAGACAGTGTGGCTGAAGAACTTGCCTTATGAGGAGGTGCTATGGGATGGGCTGATTCAGCCAGGAGAAGTGATGACTCTGGGGTTAGAGCCATCCAACAGCATCTCTGATGCCCACGGGAGGGGATGGAGGAGCAGCCAGGCTCTTTGTCTTCACAGCTTTGTGTGGCATAAGGGTGAGAGGCAGCACAAGCTGCAACGGGAAAAGCTGAAGCTGGAGGTAAGGAGAGCCCTTTTCCCCAGGAGGTCAGCTCAGCAGTGGGGCTGGAGTCCATGGAGCTTGGGTCTGACTTTGTAAAGCCCTGAGCATCCTGACTGAACCTGCTTTAGGCAGGGGCTGTGACTGGAGACCTCCCCAGGTCCCTGCCAGCCTGTGTGTGTCCAATGGTCTGATGCCTCAACTTCTGCCAGGTTTTTATTGTTGGCTTTTTGGTTTGGTGTTTTTTTTTTTTTTTTTTGCCTTTCCCTTCTATGATGTTAGACAAATGACTATACACCTTTGCTAGTAGACCGAGATAGATGAAATTGATTATCTCACAAAACTATTGCAAGGATTAAGAAAAATATTAAAAATATTATCTGCAAGAGGGAAAAGTTATATTTGACCTCTAGGAAGTAGTAGTATGTTGTTTCATTGTTTTTTATCAATATTTTGTAAAATAATAATTTGTGAAAGCACACAAAGTTATTTTTATAGATCATCACTGTTTTTACATATACTCTTCCTGTAAATATTTCCTTGAAAATGTAAGTTTAAGTTTGAATTAATTTCTCCCTCTGTTCCTGCCTGACATTCCCCATTTCTATTACGCAACACTTGAAAATCAATACTGGATGCCAGATTGGCTCTTAACAGGATGCTTATAAACAATAAAGAATAATAATTTCCTTATCCACAGAGGCCAAATACGACATTATCACACTACATGATACTGGACTGCATATGATGTTGTAATATATACACCCCAATACAACATGTCCCTGAAATGCTTTTAAAAGGTAATTTATGAGCAAATTCAATAATGGAATTTTATTGTTGTTCTCAGGTGGTTGTAAAAATAGTTATAGATAAAAATCATTTGAGTTCAGAAATTATATCCCCTTCTGAATGTCAATTCTGCCTCAACCTTGAGTTTGGGAGTTGAACCAGCATCTCCTTTTGCATGTTTTTCAGTAATAAGCACTATATTTAACAGTATTGTTGATGATGTTGTATACAGAGTCTGTTCATGATAGTCTCCTCTATCTGTGGAAGAATAAAATGAAACCTTATCAGTGTGAGCTACCCCAAAATTGTTTTTAAAATGTGTGTTCAGTTACAGAAAAGTGAAGTCTAAATAACTGACTCTTTAGGAAAACTGTCCCTCCGTTCAGAGACTGAACTAAGTGATACTAGCATTTTTTGGTGTTTTTTTTTGTTTGGTTGTTTTGTTGTGTTTTTTTTTTCTTCTTTTTTTTTTTGTTGTTGTTGTTGTTTTTATTTTTTTCAATCTTTAAACCATTTTCTGTGCAGAAAAGTGTCACTTGTTACTTTCAAAGACTGGTTGTTTCCAGACCTACTATAAGCTGAATTGGGGTATAAAATTCAACTTTTTCAAATTGATATAAAAAGCTTCTATGACTAATTTGTTCATTTAAGGAATATTTCTGTAAAGAGTTGTCATATTGGCCAAAATTTGAGTGAGACGGATTAACAAAAAGAGACCAAATAAGGTGGTTAAAAGGGAGGCAATAGTGTTTTATTGTTTGTCTTTCCCATATATGCCTTCATATAAATAATGTACAGTGTACAAAAAATTAACATAGGGCTTTGATTTCAGCCTTAAAGTAGTTCTTGAGAATTACTGTTCTGTGCTTCCCAGGGCTTATCAGCTTTCTCTATCTCCCAAAGTGCAAAAGTGGAAAAGCTGTCAATCAGCTAGCTTTGTGCATGGATGTGTCTTGATATTTAATAATGAATTAGGTAGTTGAGTTATTTTCTTCTTCTTTGGGTGGAGGTTACTTAAGTTATTGTTTAATATAATAAGAAGAATGTATATTTTCCCAAACTCTGTCACAAAAGGCTTTGTATATAGACACAAAAAATGTCAGACTGCCAGATTTTAAGTGGTGACCTAAAAGATAGTGGAATTGCTTACTGATTTGTTTTTTCTAGTTACAAAAGTAATTTTTAAAATTCCTAAAGTATGAAGCTTGGAGCTCCTAAAGAAACAGGAAAAGGTGTTTTCTTTTCAAATTAAACACTAAGAAACAGACATCTCTGTCAAGAATACCCTGGGATTTTAGTTTCACTGAAAAATTGGAGTTTTATTGAGATGGGACCTTGAAAAAGTACTCTCACTTCTATCATAATACATAACAAGAAAAAACAAGAACAAAGCTAATGTATTTGAAAGTGACTTTCAGGGTTTGAAGCTAACAATAACAAAACCTTAGTGTTAATTCACAGTGAGTCCATAATCTATGCACAACTATGCTGCCTCATGTCTTGTATGTGTGTTATGCTTCATGTTTGAAGTTCTTTCAAATTCACCTTTTCTCTGATTTTTCTGAGTTAATAGTTCTTTGTCTTGAAGTGATCAAAGTATTCCTGTAATGTTTTACCTTAAATTATTATTCAGCTACTTATCTTAATTTCACTTTAGTTAGGATCACCACTTTTCATGACTAGACTTACTTTTTGTGCTTCACTTCCACAGCTGTTACAAAGAGGTATCATGTCTTTTACTGCCTGTATTTTTCCCTAAAATATGCATTTTCTTCCTCATGTCATATAATTGCATTATTAGATGTTTTGACTTACTGTGTTTTCAATAGCACTTACTTTGCTTTAACATGTTTTCAAAGATTGGATTCTAAGCAGTCTGTATGTACAATTGAAATCAGCTTTAATTTGAAAATCAGATTTAGGAGAATTTGTATTTAGAAAATTTTCAGTCTGCATATTTATGCAATGAAACTACCTTCCTGGCTGTTGTATCAACTAAAAGGACATGTAATAAATTCCACATGATTTAAAAAACTGACATACTCAGAAATTGAGCGTAGAAGATTATAAATTATTTAATAATCTCAGATTTCTGACTTAGATACAAATGCTCTACTAAATGTCTCCATATGTGATGTATCAGTGTATAAGCTATTTGTATAAGTCCATACTTGCTCCTGTTTTCCAGTTTTGCCCTTTCAGTAATGCTTAAAAAAAAAAAATCAAGGTTTCAAAATCTGTTCAAAAGTTTGAACTGATGAATTTTTTAGTTGAAATCAAAATCTGAAGTTATGTAAGTCAGAAATGGGGTAAAGTGCTCAAAGATAGTTTTTTTTTGTTTCTAAATTCTGCCATTGCATAACTTCTAAAATTAGATTTATGACAAAATAATTTGTTATCCATTCTTTGTATTGTACCCTGGCATGGATGATTGGAATTTAAGCATTGGTAAGATCAGATTTTTTTTAATTTCTGCCATGAAAAACCTCCGCAGCTCTATAGCATGGCATGAAAGATAGGCAAATACCATTACTCACAGTAAATGTGAACTATTATAATTTTTGTTCACGTATATGCTTTCAGCTGCTGTGGTAAAAAAGCCACTGAGGAGGAAGCCTAAGATTATTTGTCTGCAAGTTATAAATACCTTATACTTGAACATTTTCATGTGCTGATAGAATGATCTGTCTCCTATCATTCTGAAATCTTCTGTTGTCTGAGAAAAATTAACTTATGCCACTTAGCCTTTGAGATTGAATGATGACTTAGTTGCTTACACCAGGTATCAGGCCTGAGATTTATCATGAAACACATAGTTTTCCTTCCTCGTTCATTCATGAATTTTGCTATTTCCTCACATTAATGTTACTAACAGGACATGATAATTCTTGTCCAAATTCAAGGAATTTGATTGTAGTACACTTCTGAGAGCTTCAAATATGTATAAGGCATTTTTATGCTATTTTAAAGAGAGACAATTAAGTATTCACTTTTCAGTTATTAAAAATGATCAAAATACTTTTATATTTGACGCATCTTTTCTGAAAGGGAAAAATATGCATTTCTTTATTTCTTTAAGTCTGTATGTAAATGGAAGATAAACTAATACACTGCTGGCAGTAGATTAGGGATGCTATTGTACTTGAAGGTATTTATTTTAAATTACTGATGAATTCTGGAATATTTGCCTTACTGAGAACAAGTGATTTAGTCTCAGTAGCTTAATACCAAAGCAGGTTTAAAGCTCTTGCCACCTCTTGAAACTGCTCTAGATATTGCTGTAATGTTTTTATTTCCATTCCTGCCTCAAAACACTCTGGGAGAATAGTCATGCAAAGCTTCTTAAGTACTGAAGTACTTTTCTAAGCTGCTAAACCTGCAGAGAACTGTAGTAAGTTCACTATGTAGAGATTAAAGTCTTGCTTGAGTAAGCTGCCTTGCTGTTCTACTTCCCAGATATACCTTCACACTTTGATTAACTTCTACAGTAAGGTTTACTGTAAAAGGAAAAGTATGGCTTGTTTACATTGTTTTCAACAAGCATTTCCAGCAGTTTTCTTATACTCTATTTCTTTTCTTGAAGAAACTATTCCTTGCACTGAACTAGAAGTGCAAAATCAGAGCAGATTTAACAAGCAGTCTCAAAAATGAATCTGTATCTGTGATTCTTCATTCATGCTTGCAATATTGTACATTTTTTGGAGAACTTAAAACAATGACTGTATAGCAGGTTTTTGTTAGGAGTAGTTTTTTTCTGTTTGATTTCTATACAGCCAACAAAGTTCAATCGGTTCAGTAGTTTATAGTGTACTATTGCTTTGCAAAGATTTGATTCAGGACTCTCTCCACATGCAGCAAATGAAGTAACTTCCTACAGTATAGGTGGCCACCTAAAATTTGAGATACCTTTTTTCCAGGTATTTTACATTTTTCATACATCCACATACACCTACATACAGTTTTGCTTAGACTACAATAAATACATGCATGCTTATATGTGCACATCTGTATGTCTATATATGTAAATAACATGCATAGTAGATTTTAAGTCTTTCTTATACATTAATAAATTTCAAATGCTTTCTTTGCAGATTTTGGAAACTGGTTTAGCAGAGGCAAGAGAACAAATGAAAGAGTTGCACAGTATATGCAATAACTTGTCATCTCAGGTAGCTGTGAAACAGGAAGAACTCTCCCAAAAGGATTGTGATGTGATCAGAGCTAAGTAAGCATTTCATGATTTCATTCCTTTTAAGTCTGACTCTTCTCATATAAGCTATTGTTCCACTTACAAAGCAGTATCTTGCATTAGAGATGTTTTTGTGCAACAGTGTGCTTTCGGACCATTCTATTCTGCAAGATGCAAAGCTTTTGGAAGTCGACCAGTAGCTGAAAGTTTATGTAGACTCTCTGATATATTTTGACTCTTAGTATATGATTATCAGTTTTTGAATAGGGATGGATTTTAAAATTGCACTTCTGTATTAGCATTGGGTCAGAACTACCAATCTCCACTAAAAGTAATAAAATACCAATATGATTAGTGACATAAACGTTTAATTGGAGAGGCTAATTGCCCTTAACTTCAAAAAGCTTTAAGTTTAACTTTAATTAGAGTATCTGAGTCAGAAAAAGTCTATATAGACTTGTGCTAAAGGTTTAAAGTGCAGTGATTTAAGCTTTATCTTAGGTCTCACACACCATTTCTTTACACTGAATCTGTAAGGTTAGTGCTGCATTATTGGAGTCACGGAAAAGAAATGAAGGATAGAATGAATTATATGAATTGACTAGAGTACTGAATTCCTCAAGATGAAAGTAATGCCACCGGACAATTAGTAACTTTAAGTGGATTGTCAGGAAATTCTCCATTTTTCACTTAGCTTGAGAGGCATACACAGTGTTTATCACTTCTGTGTTAGCCAAATAATACTCCCTTCAGTATTACCTCAAAATGTGGTTATGACTGAAGAGCTGCAGTTAGGATGCAGAATCATTGGTAAGGACACTCCTGTTTGCTTTCCAAGCAAAAATAATCTTACTGTATGCTTTTGGGGAAAAAAACCTAGAAATATGATTTTTTGATGTCTCTGACCTAAATTGTCATCCTAGTATTTGTTGAAATCTTTACAAGAAAAGTGATGTCATATTATTTTCATATGTAAAAGGTGTAATGGTTGGGGTTTCAAAAATTAATAAAAATGGGCACCTTTAATGGGATATTGCATTGAAAGCAACAATCATTGAAACCTGTGAAAATCATCAATAGACTAATAGACTTCATTAACTTCTGAAATTATTCTCAGAAATATATATGTGTGAGAGGACTAGGGACAACAAAGATGACATTTTTAAAATCAGGTAATCAGGGTTTGCAAAGTTACTGCTTATTGGTTGCAGTTTAGGGTACTGGAGGCTGAGTTGGCCAAATCATTGAACTTAAAATTTCTCTAAATATATTCTTTGCTATTCATCGCAAAACAACCTCTTAGAATTTGTCACAGATACCTCATCTGAATATGTAACTAAAATAAGTACTTGTTTTGACCGTAATGTCTGAATGTGAGGTAACAAAAAGATAGACAGCATACTAATTTTGAAATGTTTGAAGCCCTTCTGTATGTTTTCCCATACAACTGACATTCTACATGTATGAAAAAACAGTTTGATAAATTGATACATTTTTCTGTGTGCTCAAGTATTTTCCTTCCTAGATAACTGGTATTCTGATGAATGATAGTATTTTTCCAAATCACTTGTGAGTTATACTTGACATGTTATATATGTATATACTGGATCAGTATCATTGTAATTCAATGCCTGCTAATCTTTCTTAATAAACTGTCTTTGGCTACAAGTTGATTGTTGACATATTTATTATGAAAAAAAGAAGGCTTATATAATGGCTTATATAAAATTCATAGTTTCAGGGAACGGTTTCAGTAGTTATCAATATAAACCAATAATTTAAAATATTCTGTATTTTTTGTAGTAGAGAATACTGAAGCTTCTCCTTATCTTCCTAAGGTGTCAGTACATAGATAAAAACTTTTTTTTTGTTGTTTCTTAATGAAAAAAAAAAGTCAAAATAATAAAAGTGTATGTAGGCAAAAACAAAACTCTTACTTAAGTTAAAGAAAGCAACAACTCCAGAGTTAAAGGAAAAAATCTGAGTAGACAATGAAGTCTTAGATCTTTTCATCTTCCTAGGCCAAGATTTTAGAACTTTGTTGACTTCATGACTGAAACATTTGGTTGTTCCTTTTTTTTTTTAAGTGATAAATTTAAGAGGTTTTTAGTTCTTTAAAACTTACTCTTATAACAGTATCACATTGAATGCTCAGTTTTCCTTTAATGCTGTCAGAAAATTCTTTGATTTTGATGGAATATATCCCATCTCCCTTACTATCTCCAGTTACCTATCCATTTCAAACTTCTGGAGCTGAAAAAGACAATCTGTTTTGCAGATCTCTAAGTTCTTTCGCTGCTCTGTGTCTCTCTCGCTGTCTGCTGCCTGCCTGTTTTACCCACCCTCCTCTTATTTGAAAACAGACCCAGAGCACAGTCATAATTATTAGAAGCAAGCTCTGGAGGAAGAAAGGAAGGAAACTGGTTTCCTTCATTTGGAGTCTTCTTCCATATGCGGTATAGACAGATCCAGAAAAATACTCCTTCAGCTAACACCTTGATAATGCTGTCCGTAATTTTTTACAGTAGGTGCTAAAATCAATTGGAAAAGAAAGTCTCTAAGGGTCTGTGTGCAAACTGGTCTGGTGCTCTGTTTCTTGTGCAATCATAACTTCTTGCTCTGTTATGTATATCTGACACTTTGTTTGCAAGAGATTTTTTTCAATTTAATAGTAACTATGTCTGTAGACCCTAAGAGAACTGTTTTTTTTTAAAGGGGCAGTCTTCTTCAGCGAATTATCAGTGACCAAAATTTTGTAGTAGTACTCGAGTCTAACTCTGGCCCAATAGAGTAGCAGGTGTTTTTGAAAATCCCACCCAGTGTCAGTAAAAGTCTGTCACATACTTCTGAGGTGTGGAAGATAAATTTTCTGAGAGAAGTAAATGGACGGTATTTACAGGATACGTCCTGCACAACGGATGTCTTCAGGAAGCCTTCCTCTGCTGGCTTTATTTTTGCAAAGCACTCTTGATCTTACTGGGTTTAATTTCAAACTCCTGAAGTAGCTGTGAAATTAATTTTCTTGTTCTGTTTTTCATGATTATATTCAGTACAGATTTTCTAGATCAATTTAGAGTCCGTCATAGACTTTCCTTTTTCATGTTCTTGAACGTTAAATCTTGCAGTTTGTTTCTGATTAACTCCAATGCATCTCTGCAATTTATTTATTTATTTATTTTTAAATTATACTAAATATCAGAATTTAGAACTTCGTATCTGCTGCTGAGCACTTGGTGGTCTGTGTCTCACTGGCACAGAGCTCTGTTGGAGCACCAAACTGGAGAGGTTTGCATGACTCACTGAGACTTGAGCCTTGCTGTCACAGGTATCCTAGAAATATTAAACTGTTTACAACTATAAGTTGTGTTCTAAAACAAATTAGAATTTCTTGCCCCTTTGTTCTCACTGGAAGTGTGTGCCACCACTTCATTTCTTTGATTAGTTTTTGGTCCAAATCTATCCCTGATCATTTTATAGCCACTTATTTTGTAACAATATTGCATGGGGTTTTTTTGTTTGTTTTTTTTTTTTTTTTTACTTCTTTCCCCGCCCCCATCCCCTTCAGCTGCTGTTGCTGTTTACCTCCATGCTGTAAATTATGGGGCAGTCGGATTTCTATTCAACCCTTACTTTGCTGCTCTGGGATTTTCAGTTTATTCTTTGCTGTGTGCTGTAAAGCATTTCATAGTATCTATGTCATTCCCCTGAGAAGCCATAATTCATAGTGCCTGTCACTGTGTTGTATTTCTAAACTACAGGTAATGGAATCTGGAGATTTTCTGAATTACCCCAAACCATTTTATATTCCCTTGGTAACAGGAGTGGCTGAGGTACTCAGAATCACAGTGTATTCACCAAAACTGTGGTGGTGAAACAAAGCCAACATCAGTTGAAGTGGTGGGTATGATGAACATTAACTGTATTTGCAGCACAGTTATATAGCTTCTGGAATGTCAGTAGCTACTCCATTTACATCCCAGGGAAGGCACAGTTTACTCTTATTTCCTGCACATACAACAGTTTAAAGGTTCTATTTAATGTTATCCATTAAGGACAGGAAGAAACTTTAGTTCATGCTCTGGCCAAACGTGAGCACCAAGGCTGTTTCTACCCTAAACAATTGTGTGAATCTTAAATATTGTTATTGACAGGACAAAGTGTCAAATCTTTGAGTTTTGCTGCAGTCTCGTTTGTAGTGCCTTCATGTAGTGTCAACCTCGCAATGTTAAAAGCAAAATCTAGTAAGGTTTTTGTAATCTTACTTAGTGGTTGAAATAATTTAGATATGCTCTTCTGTTTTGACTTGAGAAAAAACTGCTTTTCATATCAGGCTCTTTCTTGTGACTTGACAAGTGCATCTCACTTCCTGTAAATTTCTTGGTTTCCCATTGTATTGGTCTTAAAGCATTTTATGGTTTGAGCTCAGAAAGCAACTGGACATCACACACGCTCTCTCTCTCTCTCTCTCCTTCCCTTCCCAGTGCTGAAGTAGAGAAAATAAAGTAAAAGACTTGATGACTTGAGCTCAGAGGACAACTGAGCATCATGCAGCCACTCACTTCCCCCTTCCACACAGCACTGAGAAGGAGAAAATAAGCCAGACTTGGGCTTCAAGATAAGACAGGGAAGGATGACTTACCCATTACAGTCATGGGCAAAAGACAGACTCATTAGGGGAAGAGAAAAAAGAACATAAATTAAATACAGACACTAACAACAACAGTACTGAAATGGCAGAGTGGGACAGTGAGAAGCATTGCTACATCTTGAGAACACCTTCCCCCCACCCCTCCCTTCTTCCCCGGGCTCAGCTTTGCTCTACCTCCCCCCCTCAGTGGCTCAGGGGGCAGGGAATGGGGGGTGCTGGCAGTGATGCTGCTTCCTCCATCTTGGAGGTGGGGAGATGAGCTTCTGGAACTTCTTCACCCTGCTCCAGTGTGGTCCCCCTCTCACAGGAGACAGTCCTCCACAACTTTTCTTCAACTTAAGTCCCTCCCATGGAATACAGCCCTTCCTGAGCTGCTCCAGCATGGGAC